CTATCTGTCAGGAGGGATCAGATTGTGTCTTCTTCTATGGCAGAAGGGAGTTGGACTAGATGGCCCCCTTTGGGGTCTCTTCCAACTCTATAATACTATGGGTTCTATATCTGTCAATACATTATCTTTATGGATGGATGGCCATCTGTCAGGAGGGATTGGATTGTGCTTTCCTCTATGGCAGAAGGTGGTTGGACTGTATGTCCCTTTTTGGGGCATCTTCCAACTTTATTATCCTATCTATCACCAAAGGTCTTTAAACAGAAGCTGGGTGGCTATTTTCTATAGATTCTATATCTGTCAATGTATTGTGTTTATGGCTGGATGGCCATCTGTCAGGAGGGATCACATTGTGTCTTCCTCTACGGCAGAAGTGGGTTGGACTAGATGGCCCTTTTGGGGGCTTCTTCCAACTCTGTGATCCTATCTATCGCTGGAGGCCTTTAAACAGAAGCTTGCCATCTTCTATGGATTGTATATCTGTCAATGCATTGTCTTTAGGGCTGGATGGCCATCTGTCAGGAGGGATCGGATTGTGTCTTCCCAAATGGCAGAAGTGGTTTGGACTGGATGGCCTTCTTTGGGGTCTCTTCCAACGCTATGATTCTATGTGTTGATCCTGCACCGGTGCCCATGAAACTGGCATCCAATCTGTATAATTATAATTATAATTATAATTATAATTATTATTATTAATAATAATAATAATAATAATAATATGCCGCAAATTTTGGGCGAGCAAAAGGAAGAGTCCTGAGTTTGTGCAAACTTTGCTGCCATGGCTTTGCTCTATTCCCAATTTGGGGCAAAAAATAATAATCGAGGCTGAGATAGTGGAAGGCAAACCTTTTGCAAAGGGGAAGAGGACATAAATAAAGAGGGAAGGATTAGACAAGGACAATGGGTCATTCCACCCAAAGCAAAGCCTATGGGAGGAGAAGAGCAAAGCTCCCAAAGCAGGACAAAGTCTCTTCCCACCGGTCAGCAGGCCACTCTGGCCGGAGTCGGAGGCCCCACCTCGGCAGGCGCCAATCAGAACAAGGGCGGCCCCACCCCTCGCGCCCCCGCCCCAGGAAAGAAGCAGAGAAGGAAGGGCCTCCTCCCCTGAATGGGAGCAGGGCACATTCCTCTCCCTGCCCTCAAAGCCGCCCCACCCAGCGAGAGGCCCATGAAGCTCGGAAGACAGCAGCAACTGGGGAAATCAGGACATTTTTGGACCCCAAATCAAGGCAGAAATGAGACCGAAGGGTCCTCAGAGGACATCTAGTCCAACCTCCCACTCAAACTAACAAGGCTTCCTTTTCAGTAGCAGTCTTGCTTAACCTGAGACTCAGTGAACATTGGAACACAACAGTTTAGAACACAACAGCAATTGTGGGAAACCAGGACACTCCCAGACCCCAAATCAAGGGGGAAATGACAGCCGAGGGTCCCTCAGAGGCCATCTAGTCCAATCTCTCCCTCTAACTACCCACACCTCCTTTCCAGCAGCAGTCTTCCTTAACCTGAGACTCAATGAACATTGGAACACAACAGCAATTGGGGGGAAACAGGGTACTCCCAGACCCCAAATCAAAGGGAAATGTCAGCCGAGGGGTCCTCAAAGGCCAGTTAGTCCAACCTCCCCCTCTAACCACTTTAACCTCCTTTCCAGCAGCAGGCTCTCCTAGCCTGAGACTCAATGAACATTGGAACACAATAGGAACTGGAGGAAATCAGGGCATCCCGGACCCCAAATCAAGGGTGAAATGACAGCTGAGGAGCCCTCAGAAGCCATCTAGTCCAACCTCCCCCTCTAACTACCCACACCTCCTTTCCAGCAGCAGTCTTCCTTAACCTGAGACTCAATGAACATTGGAACACAACAGCTTGGAACACAACAGCAACTGGGGAAAATCAGGGCACTCCCAGACCCCAAATCAAGGGGGAAATGACAGCTGAGCAGCCCTCAGAGGCAATCGAGTCCAACCTCCCCCTCTAACTACCTAGGCCTCCTTTCCAGCAGCAGTCTTCCTTAACCTGAGACTCAATGAACATTGGAATACAACAGCTCGAAACACAACAGCAACTGGGGGAAATCAAGGTACTCCCAGATCCAAAATCAATGGGGAAATGACAGCTGAAGGGTCCTCAGAGGCCATCTAGTCCAGCCCCCCCCCCCCCAACCACCTAGGCCTCCTTTCCAGAAGCAGGCTTTTTTAACCTGAGACTCAATGAACATTGGAACACAACAGCTTGGCACACAACAGCAACTGGGGGGAAATCAGGGCACTCCCAGACCCCAAATCAAGGGGGAAATGACAGCCGCAGGATCGTCAGAGGGGGCTGAGAAAGTCAAAAACAGGGGAAAAGCAACTTCCAGGTTTCCAAATTATTATTATTATTATTATTATTATTATTATTATTATTATTTGATACACAAAAAGATTAGTAAACAGCAAACAAGTTCACTATGCTTGCTTTTGTATTGATTCACACATTGGACACTTCCCAAGTGTCT